GGCCCTCGGCGGCTGAGACCCGGGGGGCCCTCCTCAGGCGCGCCGCCCGGGGCAGGTGCCGGGGCGGCCGGAGGTGCGTCCCGAGACCTCGGCCCTCCGCCTCGTGCCGGGGACGCGCCGCTGGAGAAGAGCGGGTGTTGGACGTCGCTCGCGGTTCGAGTCTGCCCGCCGCTCACTCGTTTCGTGACCTTGGGCGGCCCCTCCGCTCGCCGAGCCGTGGCTTTCTCGCCCGCCAGGTAGCCAGCGGCGTGAGAAACGGAGCCCTCGGCACGGTGTTGGTCATGATGAGCGCTCCAGAGGCTGTTAGTACTGCGGCTCTGGCTGATGTAGCAATCGATCGCTTGCATGTGAAAATGGGGGCCCGCGGGAGCGCACCTCGGCTGCCGTGGAAGCTGTCACTCACCCTTCCTGTGATGCGGGGCGCCGCCGGCGTCCCCCTCAGCAGGACGCTTGTTTTCCCTGTCCGCACAGTTTTCCGGAAAGTGGCCACCGGCACTTCTTTTCTTCGATCTAAAGAGCACCGTGCTTGCATTTTTCCAGTAGGCGTTTTCTGTCGTCCTGGGTGAAGACGAGTTTTGGAAATCTGCGTCCCTGGAAGTTCGCGACGGCAAAGGAGAGTGATGTTGCGATGCCTTTTGTATCTGTTTTACGGTACATCCTGGCTCTTGCACGTGTCTGGCTTATTTAAAATAAGCCTCTTTGCATCCTTTTTTACTCTGTTTCCGATAGCCACGAATTTAATATTCAGCCAACGTTGGGCATTTATTGTGTACATGTACAAGAAAACTTCCCCACTTGGTTGTGCTTTCTTGGAGGTGTGTGGACTGATTTTTTTTTTTTTTCTCTGAAATTTACATAATTTGGCTGAGTGCTCAGTACTTAGTAAGTACTAGTGAATGTTTGTTAGGGAAAGCTGCATGTAGGCCCGTTCCTTGGGAAGCTATTTGGTGGAAGTCAGAGTGGTTAAGTCCTTTTCCCCCGGTGACGGGGGTTGTTTTTGCTAGTGACCAGGCGTGGTCTCTCTCCGGAGCGCTGGTCACTCACTAGCCTCGGGTCAGGCTTAGGTCACCTTGCGCTGTGATAAGTGGGCAGGGGAGGTGGGAGTCCCCTGCTTTGTCTCCTGCCTCTGCTGCAATACAGATCGTAATTTGGACAGTTGGAAAATACAAATTTAACTAATACCAGGGCTTTCTGAAATGTAGGCTTTGTTTTCTTTTATTTTATTTTTTCTCTTTTGAAATGTAGGCTTTTAAAAGATACGTTTTAGAGATCACAACGTGTTCACGGTTTTTTCTTGAGAACAAATTCTTCAGACTGAACAACAGACTTTTCTGGACTTGTTTTTGCTTATTTTAAAATAACATTAGAAATTGCAGCTGTAGTGTAAATTTCTCTCCTGTGGGGCCACAAAATAGCAAACTCTTTCTAAAGCAAAACCAAGTGGCATTAAAATAAAGTTCTCCCGGGTGATTCCATGTCTGCCCACGTGTGTTATTCGAATGCTTAGCCAGGCAAAAAAGTTAACCTAGTGCTTGCTCATTTGTTTATTTTTTAAAATTGTGCCACCTGGTGGTGGAAATCTACCATCTATCTTAGAACTGGAAAATTTTACTCAGATTGGGTAGATTAAGCTGAAGGACTGAGTAAAGTAAGAGTATAATTTTTTTTTTTTGAGTCGGAGTCTCACTCTGTCACCCAGACTGGAGTGCAGTGACTGCGCCCGGCCTCCGCAGCCTCGACCTACTGGGCTCCGGTGATCCTTCCGCCTCAGCCTTCCGAGTAGTCGGAATTACAGACATGCACTATCACGCCCGGCTGATTTTTTTGATTTATTGTAGAGATGAGGTCTCGCCAGCTTGCCCAGGCGGGTCTTGAACCCGCGGGCTCAGGCAGTCCACTCACCTCAGCCTCCCAAAGTGCGGGATTACAGGCTGAGCCACCGAGCCCGGCTAAGAGTATAATTTTTAAAATATTTTCAGTCAGAGTACCCCATTGCTTCTGCCCTCTCAGTCTGTCCCCAAGCAAAAGTTAAAATTGCTGTTAGGGACTTGTCAGCCAGGTAGCAAAATATCAGGTTTGCACGCTGAAATTTTTTTTTATTTTTAAAATTTATCGTAGAGACAAGGTCTTGCGAAGTTGCCCAAGCTGGTCTCGAACCCCTGGACTCAAGCATTCTCCCCAAAGTGCTGGGATTACAGGCGTGAGCCACTGCCCTCGGCTTTTTTTTTCCCCCTTAAGTTGGAGTTTTACTCTGTCACCCAGGCTGGAGGGCAGTGGCACGCTCCTGGCCACCGCAACCTTGACCTGCTGGGCTCAGGCAATCCTTCCAAGTTGCTGGAACTACAGGCACACGCTACCCATGCCTGGTTAGTTTTTTGATTTATTGTAGAGATGAGGTCTCGCCAAGTTGCCCAGGCTAGTCTTGAACCCACAGGCTCAGGCATTCCTCTCACCTTGGCCTACCAAAATGCTGGGATTTTAGGCGCGAGCCATCGTGCCCGGTCTTGAAGTTGTTGTGTCTCAGTGGACTGTTTTGGTATAACTGCGTGTGTACTTGAAGAAGTGGGCAGGTCTGACATGGGGAGGGCGGTGTTGTCGTTGTGGCAAGTGTACCCTTTTGATGTTTTCTAAATGCCAGTGTGAAAGAGGGATTGAAGTTTTCTATTTAACTAACAGCAGTTTGAATGGATTTTCTTTCTCCCTCTCACTGACTCCCTCACTCACTGGAAACACCCATTTACGAGATCTTATGTTCCTTTAATTTTGTTTCAGTGGTTCTGCTGTATAACTAACTTGGCTTACCAACCCTTTTGAAATTGTTTTGTGTATTCTTTTTTTTTTGTCAGTCTCACTCTGTGGCCCAGGCTGGAGTGCAGTAGCATGCTCACGGGCTACTGTAGCCTCGGCCTGCTGGGCTCAGGCGATTCTTCTGCCTCAGCCTTTCAAGTACCTGAACTATAGGCTTGTGCCACCATGCCTGGCTAACACTTTTATTTATTGTAGAGATAAGGTCTTGCCATGTTTCCCAGGCTGGTCTTGAACCCATAGGGGCTCAGGCAATCCTCTTGCGTCCACCTCCCAAAGTGCTGGGATTACAGGTGTGAGCCATTGCACCCGACCTGTTTTTTGTATTCTTAGTACTAGCAAGTGTTTATCCTTTGAGCATGCATTTTATTTTTGGGAATGATTTAATTGTGAACTTGGATTTGAAAAGAAACTTAAAGCAATGCAAGAATATACTCTCTGACACCCTTAATTGACGTAGTCCGTCTCTTTTGGACAAGTTACTGTATAAGTCAGATCTTCACACAACAGCCTGTTTTGTTGTTGGGCATCCATGAAGATAACATCTGCTTTTGAACTTCCACCCTTTGGTTTCCAGTCCTGTCCTCAGATACTTCACAGTTCAGCCTTTCCTGTCATGCGATTGAGAATTTCAGATATACAAATAACACTTTACATATGTCACATTCACTGTTTACTATTTCAGATACTATCACATATGTTTATTTTAAACATGTCAACACCGAGAGGTCAAGAAGGAATTCCATTTTATGTAAGAAGAGACTTAGACCTCAGATCGGTGACCAAAGTGACGCAACTTGTAAATAGCTGGCCAGTGACAAGTACAATACAGTACTGTTCTTTTTTTGATGTACACAGACCCTCTATTTTTAATAATACAAGATAATGCTATATTGACTTCTTTGGAGCTTAGGCCTAGAATTAGCGCCTGTTGAATTTGCAGCCAAGCAGAGGCTCCTTAGGAAATAATTTTTTCCATCTGAATTTATTTCCTTCACAAACTGCTGCAAAAGCATGTCTTTCTTAATTTGAGCATGGGAAAAATGTGTCATGGCTGGAGATTATGCTGGGTAGTAACTGCCGTTTACTACCGTGTGACCTGGGGCTCGTGAAAATGTGGGTAGTGCGTATTTTGACCTACAAAAACGAATTTTTCATGGTTCGACTGAATTTAAAAGGTTACCTAGGACTGAAGATGAAAATGGAGATTAATTTGGACATTTGGATGTTCTTTATAGGGTTGCTGGATTTTAAGACTTATGCCTAGCACTTGCTAAGTGTTCAACTAATTATTTTCTAAACTGATATGTTGTTGACTTCTTATGGCTTTGAAATTTTAAAAGTAAGAATATGGGATATGTATGTAGCTTTTCTTCAGTTCATAAAAAATACCTTGAGTTATATTAGTGTTATTAGAATAGTTTTTTAAAGATGACTACTGGGAAGTATCAAATAGGTCATTTAAGTACATTGTAAGCTTGTTTCTGAACGGTAAGGGCACAAGTTTGAGCACCGGTTGACAGAAATGTGTACAAATATTTTGTCAGATACATTTACAAGATAAAATGTTGGAGACGTTTCCTAGGTGACTAAACATTTTCTTTCAGAAAAAATAATCAAGGCAGAAGCCAGAAAACTAATACTACACATAAATGCAGGTGCATAATATTGGTACAATATTAGATGACTTTAACTACTGAACCGTATGAAATTTCATTTTTCTGAGGCAAAAATTTTTATCATTAAAATAACCTCATAGTCAATGGCAGGCAAACAAAACTTGAACTTGTGTTTCCTTTGACAGCACA